TTGTTTCGCATGCAAGAAAGTTCACCACACCCGCCGGTAAACCAGCTTCTCGAATACTTATACAGCAAATAATTGAAAGCACCGCATGAGGGGATGTTTCCAGAGTACAACGTTACCCATCAATGCGGGACAAGCAACGAGGTTCGCTGCGATCGCTGCAAAGTTAAATGGCGTAATGGTTGACACAAAACCCTCAAGTGGGCGGTAGTCAAGTGAGTTCCAAATGGCTCCGCTGCTTGGGGAGAGTGGCTGGTCGCGGTACAAATTCTCCGCATAATGCACTGAGAAACGTAGAAAGTCGCACGATTCCGCGATCACGTCAATCTCCGCCTGAAAGGGACTTTTGCTCTGTCCCAGCATAGTCGCCGCCCGCAGTTCATGGCGGTACTTTGTCGAGATAAGGTGGGCCGCATGAAGAAAGATGGCCGCACGATCTCTGAAGGATGTCTGGCTCCACTCGCGTGAAGCTTGTAGTGCGGTGTCAATGGCCTTCTGTGCCAACTCTGGCGTGGCATTGTACGACGTTGCAAGCTGTTTCTTGTGGTCGGACGGGATCGTGCGGCGAATAACATTGTCAGTGCGGTACTCCTTCCCGCCAATCACAATTGGGCAGTCCGTTACACTCTCGCGCATACGCCTGCACGCCTCCAGAGTGCCATTCGCAGAGACACTCCCAGCTTCAAATGTGTCCATTGGCTCATTCACGATAGTTGGGCATTTCACGTACGCAAAAGCGAATGGCAGTGTGCGACGTAACATAGTAATACCCTTTTTTATTTACTTTTCTTTTTGCTTTGTGTCCTTTTTCTTGAAGACTGACTGTGTCGTTGTTATTCGTTGGTTTGGTTTGCTTTCTTGCTCTCTTTCCCAGATTTCACCCTCGTTAATAAATTGACATTAGAGAATAATAATAAGAAAAAAGAAAACAAGAACAACAAAAAAAAAAATGTAGAGAAGATAAATGTACGCAAATAAACACGGGCTTGAGGGCCGTGGTTTTGTTATAATTGACGTTACCCGCCCGACCCTCTCCTTTTTTTTTTTTTTTTTGCTTCTCCCAGGCCCCTTGAAAAGAAGAAGATCTGCAGAGTCTTTATTTACGAACATCCTCTCATTTATTCCATCAACAGTATCAGAATCAATTTTTTTTTTTTTTTTGCCATTGCTACAGAAAGCAGATTGCAGAAGTGAATTTGGAAGCGTGTGAGAGCCCCCTTTTTAGACTGCCAATAATGAGTACTCATGCATCCTCCCCATTGAGGAAACTCAAGTGCATTGGAAATAACGTTTCATCAACGAGGTCATGCTCACATGTCCACAGCGTAAACATAAAGGCGTTTCTTTTTCTTGGTGCAGCTGTTCCTGTTATTGGGAAAAAACACACTCCGGTTTTTAAAATAAATCCTTCTTGTTGTTGCTTTTGCCTTTTGTTCCCCCGCACGCTACTTCAAGGGACAATCCCGAGAGATATGGCCACTCTTGCCGCATATGTGGCACAAATCACTTGGATGCGGTCTTGGCGATCTGGAACGCTCCCTGCCGCGATCCTTCGAGCGTTCTCGCTTGCGGTCACTTCCTCGGCTATGTTTCTCCTTCTTCTTCCAGTACTTCGCCTGCTCCTTCTCCAACTTCTCCATGAGCTTGCGGGAGACTTTGATGATGTGCAGATAGTTGCACTGTGCCCCGCGTCCACACTTCCCCTCAAGATCTTCCTTGCAGCAGGCGTCGGCAAAGTTGGTGACAGGACTCAGCTCCGGAAGAAGAATAATTTCGTTTAACTTTTTCGCCTTTAGTTCCCGCGCAATGTGAGACGCGTCCGCGGCTTCTTCAAAGCGAATGTACACATTCCCGAGGAGGTGGTCACCCAGATTGCTCACAACACGCAGCTCTGCAATTCTGCCTAGCTCCATGAAGGTGCGCCATGTTTCCTTGTAAAAGTGCTCAAAGTGCCGCTTCAAATACTTTCGGTCAAAATGAAAGTCCCACTGGCGATCCTGAATGTGCTCAATCGCCATCGGGTTCGGGTACATCATCGGAAAGAGAACGGTCGGAGACGACGTCGGGCGCACATGGACCTTCGTGCAGTGATCACCGTGGCGGCAGGCGCCCATTTTGGAAAAGAAAATGCAGCGATCCTGATACATCACTCAACCAATGGCAAAATAATGGCCCAAGATAAGAATACAAAAGAAAAAAAGTAATGACAAGAAAAACAGTTGCTTTTTTTTTTTGATCTTGCCGTACTCCTTCTATGAGTTTTGCAGCCGCGGAATAACTATTAATATGTATGTGTTATCCTTTTCTGTCTGTACTTATTGCGTAAAGGTGAGAAGTACGTAAAAAAACAAATACCTGCAAATAGTCCTCGGGTATTACTGAGTTGCTTCCTTGGTTTTTTTTGCTCACAGGTAGTGACTGTCGGAGAGTTGTTGTTGTTTTTTGGAGGGGAGGGGAGGGGAGGAAGAGAACGCCGCAGAGGATTGTGTGTGAGGCTCTACGCCCAGCAAAGAGGATGCAAACGTGCAACGAGGCAGAAGAAGGAGAACAAGAGGAGAAGTAATGAAACGACAGCAACAACAAAAACAACAAAATCTTCTTTTCCTTTAGTTTATTCCTTCACTTGTTACTTTACTTCGCTTGCCTGCTTACTTTAAAAAAAAAGAAAAAAAAAAAA